TGGGCTGGGACAGAGGCAGGGGCTGCCAAGCCAGGGTTGGGGGGGGTGTGGGACAGAGCTGCAAGTGGCTCATCTGGGGAGCATGGGGAAGGGGAGTGGCTCCTGCCACTGTGTGCACCCTGGGGGAGGCATGGGGGGCATGTACTTCTTGGATCTGTGTATGAAACGAGGCCAGGCAGCCGCTGTGTGCTTGGGGTGCTGGTGATGCTTGGCGAAGGGGGTGGGCTGGAGCTGTGCTCAGGGTGGGCAGGAGCAGCGCGTAGCAGCGCTGGGAGGGGGCACTACAGGGTGGACTACAGTCACCCAAAAATTTGCTGTAGCCCCCCCTCCCAGCACCACCACCACCTGCCCTAAGCACAGCCCTGGCCCAACCCCCACCCACTGGGAAGAGCCCAGTGTCACCCCTGGCCCCAAGCTCAGTAGCAGCCCTCCCTTGCCTTGTGCATAGATCTGGGAGCACGTGCCCCCCATGTCTCCCCTGGGGTGCACACAGCAGTGGGAACCAGCCCCCCCCCACAGGAGCCTCTCACAGCTCCATCCTGCACCCTGCCCCATCTCACCCCAGCTGGGCAGTGCCTACCCCTGCCTCAGCCCTAGCCCCACTCCCTGCCTCACTGTGGAGCCCTTGATCTGGCCCGCTCCACCCCCCACCCCAACTTAACAGCTGGATGCTGTTCTCCAAGCTGCTGGTCTTGCATATTGGCAATTGGATCAGTATTGGCCGATATGGCTTGTTAATAATCAGCTATCGGTATCAGCCCAAAAAATCTTTATCAGTCCACTCCTACTTGCAGATGTTCCCTTAATAGCACGTTGGGATCTAATCCCCAAACCCAACAACTGTACCTCCTGCCATGACATATGTGCCAAGATGCTAATTTGATCTTATGTGCTAAAATTACATTCACTTATACAAACTTAAAGGTAAGACATTAGGCCTGCCTTGAACTCAAAGTTTTTTCTACTCCAATTAATGTTTATTTTCAAAGGAAACGAGGCAAAACAAAGAAAAAAACCATCTTAAATCCAGCTTTTCCTATATTTCTTGCATCTGAATTAGACTGTATTCAAAAGCAAAATGCTTTATAGTTATACTAATGAAAGCCTATAAAAGGTATAAAGTTAGTAATACATGTAAGAAGGAAAATTTTAACCTAAACTTGTTCTCCTCAAATAGATGTATTTAAAAATGTAATTAGCAAACAACAATGTGAAAAATGCTGGCTGCTTTACCAGCAACAAAATCTTGTGTATCCTCCTTTCTATCTAACGAAAATAGGTCATCTGTAAGTAGGTCAGATAGGGTACTCAGAAAAGGGAGAGCCTGTCTTTACATAAACATTACTATTTTTTCTTTCAGCATTATTATTTTATCTGCATAGTACTAGCTTCTTAAAAACAGTAACTCCACATTATTACCATACTCCTTTGGTGTGGTGAGAAAACGGTCTTATTTTTCCAACTCCCTCAAAATTAGATAGAGGGGGATGTTTTTTAATAAAACATATAAATTATGCTTAATATTGCAAATCTTAATCAGCCGTGTCAAAATCACATGCACCACAATTTTTCAGCAGTTGGAAAAACAGATTTAAAGGAAATTGCGTACTCCACTTATAGGAAACTGCATAACTTAAATCACAGGTTCCCAAACTGTGGTACATGTACCACTAGTGGGGGGAGCAGATCGAGGCCCCCACAGTGAGGGAAGGAGTGGGGCAGGGGCTGAGGTAAATGGGGCCCTGGGGCTGTGATGGGTCAGTCAGAGCCCAGGCAGCACGTCCAGGAGTATGGTGGGGGGCTCTCGGCCATTGCGTGCACCCCGGGGGAGGTATGTGAGGTACACGGTCTACTATCCTCTCTCCAACAGTGGCAAGGGTGGATATTTTATAGGGAAAACAATGAACAGGGTATATCTAGAGTGATCTATCCCCTGTTCCTTATCCTCCCTGGCGTTTACCATCACTGGTTTAGAAATGCCAGAAGATACATCCCTGAATCTTGTTTAATACCTATTAATAGATTTTTCAGCTATGTATTTGTCTTGTCCTTTTGAACATGGCTATGCTATCTGTCTCTACAACTTCCTGTAGTAATGTATTCCACAAGTTAACTATGTGTTGTGTAAAAAAGGACTCACTCTTGTTTTAAACATGTTTCCAGCTAACTTCAGAGGGTGACCCCTAGTTCAAGTCCTCTGGGGCTTGGTGAATAACAGTTCCTCATTTACTTTGTCTACATTGTTCATGTATTTTACAGACCTCTACCCTCCTCAGTCTTCTCCTTCCCAAACTGAAGTCCCAGGATTGTGTGTGTATAAGTAAATGTAGTTTATTTTACTAAATCACAGAATGCTGTTTTTTGTCCTTAAGCCAGTTTCATCCTTCAGCAGATGTGTAGGGATACAAAATCATCATCAGAACACTTGAGACCATCACAGTGAAGTGGGAGATGGCAATACAAGACTTAAGAAGAAAATTAATTTTAGTTGGTAGTGCACTACTATGTTTTTGAAGAATTCTCTATATACTGCTATCAGTAAAATATTTGGAGCAATGTCTTTTACCATACATATTTAATGACATGTGCTGCCTAAAGTGGGAAAAAACAGTATTCTAAAATAAGTTGTGATCAATATTTTCAATTTGTAATCACTGAAGTTATTCTCTACTTTAAGCAAAAAGAGTAATACATAAGGGCATCTTTGGGTTTTGGAATATCATTTGTGAGAATCTCAGAGATGCTGTGCTTTACTGAAATGGCAGAACAAAACCTCACACATGTAGTACAATTATTAAGGAAGAAGAACATTCTCATTTGTTCACATTATGTGACCTGTCTATCACTTTCATAAGAGCCTATACAGTGAAGACTAAACTTTGTCCTATGAAGAAAAGAAAGAACAGGAAAGACATAAAACAAGGTAGACTGATTTACATGTGAAAATCTTCCATTTAAATAATTTCACTCAACTTTCCCACTTGTACTTCAGCTATTTTCTAAAGGGATAGCTTTACAACTAAATAATGCCTTTGAAGTAGATTTAGTACATCTTTTTGCTGTATAGTATAAATATAACTATATATAATTTATTTCAAAAACTATATAGCTTAATATTTTCAGATTCTTATTAAGTGATATATTTAGTGTGTTAGAAAATGGTGGCTGATATACTGCTTATTTACTAGGAACTTAACTGTTACTCATGATTTGTGCCAAGCAGCTTCATTAGAATGGTATAATACATAATGGTAACAAATCTGTTTATAACAAACCCTACCCCCCTTTTAAAAATCCCACCAGCAGGAAATGATTTTCTCATTCTTACAATGCAGACATTGACTAACTTTATTGTAAACATCCTCTTTTAATTAATTTTTCTCCTAGTTACAGGGAGATTTGTTTTAATGATGTTGCACTATATCTGGAATTTAATTACACACAAAAACAGCACATAAGCTTTGGTTTTATTAAACAAAACAACCTAAAATGTTTAGATACATAATCTTCTCATTTCAAAATACATTTTACATTTACAACTTCAGAATCTGTTGAAGAGAGGGTTTAATGGTCATCAATGAAATAAACAGTTTATTTCAAATTAGCTTGGAAAATGTTTCAGCTAGGCCTAAGTGAAAGTGCCTTGACTTTAGCTCCTACATGTTGAAGTTCACTGAAAAGGAGATGGTTTCCTAAGTTACCTAACCTGTCCTTCAAACTATTAAGTCTAGTAGCTCTCATGCTCCTCATTTTTAATTATACTGAGGCTGTAGCTCATGGAGGTTCAGCATATTTATTTTTAACTGTTTTAAGAGGCATATTCTTAGGCTTAGCAGAATTTGATTTTTATTTTTTATTTTGATGGCAAAAATCAAATGTTTATTTTTAAACATTTGATTTTTATCGATTTGAAATTTTTGGGACTGTGCAAAATGAGTTTAAATTTTTTTTTTTATTGATTTGGTATGTGTGCGCACATACACCTATACACGTGCAGCAGCTAAAGCAGGTGCTGAAGGCTGTACTGGTAAGGCTATGCTGGGAGGGGGGCAGGAGGGGCAACATCATTCATGAGGACATTGAAACTGTTCCAAGTGAATGTTTGTCTGAGGGGTAGGAAAGCTGCTGCTGCTTGAGACAGCACGGAAGCTATTTGGCTGTAACAGTTACAAATGTAGTGAAACTCCTCCAACTTTTACCCAACTTCATTCAGGGATAAAGCTGGGGCAACTTAGCTCGCTTATGTCACTACAGGGGTGTGTGCACATATCATTTAGACCAGGTACAGACATTACACTTTTACTGCTAAGTGACTGGAAACCAGCCTATACCTGTAACAGAACAGAAGTTTGGCACACAAAGACTGGTTTAAAACTACACCATTTACAAAAACCACTGAACTTCAATCAATTCCGCCTTGGGCCTTTTGAATGTCTGCACCTAGCCTTACAGTGCACCATCTACCAGGCGATCTTGAGCAGCAGCTTCTCCCCTTTTTAAACTGCTCCAACTGAACAGGAAGATCCTGTGGTTCAGATGCAGCGGACTAATAGTGCTGATACCTCTATATTGTGTGGAGAAGAAAGATTACCATCTAGTAAAGAGAAATGGACATGCCTTTGGAAGGTGGACCTGTGTTTTTTTCTTTCAGAACATGCACATTAGGGGTATGTGAAGTGGGCAGTATTCGATTCGGATTCAGGGGACAGTGATTCAATTAGTTGATTTGGATCACTGTCCCGATGAGATTCAGCTGAATTGAAATCTGAAGATTTTATTCTGAGTGCGGGGGAGGTTCACCGCAAAGCGCACCAGCATGGTGATCGGCCATGGAGGGACATCAGGTGCCCCCCCCTAGACCCAGAAGGCACCAGTTGCTGAGCCAGAGGAAGTCCCCCACACACTTTGCGGTGGACCCGGAAGTGGATCCAAAGCATTTCTGGTGCACTTCCAGGTCCACCGCTAAATGCGCAAGGGTTCCAATTCAATTCGGAGAGATTAATGGGTCTCCTGATTCTATTTGGAGATTCGGCTGCCAAATCGCCTCTGAATTGAGTCAGCGACGGAAGCGTTGCACAACCCTAATGCACATACACCTTCTTCTGTCCTTTATAATTTGGCTTAATTCCTTTCCCTGTAGTTTCTCTGTAAGTTGAAGGGTGTGAAAAGCTGAGGCAGTATTGCTGCTAGGTCCAAATGGCACAAAATTGACACCAATCATAACAGAGGTTTTAACCATTACATCCTATTGAAGTGATCTGCATATGTATGACATAGCTCTTGAGAAATTCTTGAACTCTGGCCAAAAATGGCTTTCAGACAGTTCAGAATCTTAGGACTTGTGCATCAAATACGCATAAATAAATCATAGTTATAATCAGAAGCAATAAGAGTGCAAGGGATGGAATAACTGTAGAGCAACTGCAGATAACATTTCAATATCCCTGAATATTGTTAAAACAACAACTGAATATTATGTAAACAGTCTGTGATTTCACTCAGTTGTTAATAAGCATAATGAGGGAGCACCAAAAATGTTTCAAATAAAGTAACCGAGCAGTAACAGATTTTCCAAAAATAATTCAACTGTTTTAATATTTCTTTAAAAGTATATACTAGTAATTCCTACTCCAATTTACCTACTGCAGGCCTGTAAAACTTGCAAGTTCTAGACTTCTAAAAATAGAATATTAGAACTGTTCACCCATCATAAAAATTGGTGATATAGCCAAGCAGCAATAATAAAACTTCTCAATTATTATAAACAAAACCAAAAGGGCAACAGCAGTTCCTTTATTTCTTATGAATCATCTCCAGGAATATTATAATCTCCTTATATGAAAGTATGGTTATAAACCTTGATCTTCAGTCATCTGAAATGAGCACCAAATTCAGTGAGAAGTTAGCATTTTTTCCATGGTCACAATATGAACCTGATTCAGGCAGTTAAAAAAATATACCCTTTGAAAGTTCATTACTACAATGCTTAGCAAAGTCCATTGCACCTACATAATCAAGGAAGTGCACTTACCTGGGTGTTTTCATAAAACAGAACATCAGGCACTTTCATTTTCTCACTGGGGTTATAGATCGGCATACTGGTAGACCCTATCTTCAGAATATCATTATGTACTTCATCTTGAAATTTTATATAAAAACAAAAACAAACCAAGGAATTACTTTTAGGTGGTTTGCACAGATGACGGGTCAACTACCCATGTAAGAGACAATACATATATTTGCAGCAATCAATGGATTACTAAGGTTTGCCAGAAATATTTGGTTTCCTAAATTTTTAAAGAAAAGATGTCAAAAAAAGAGCTGTATCAAGCTCCATGGTTTAAATGCTACAAAAATACTGATTATTAGTGAATTTCCAGAGCATGTACCACACAAATTGTAAAAAGTTCTGTAACAATGAATGACAAAATTGGTAAAATGATCAGGGGAAAGTATCATACAGGACTGTAAGTATCAGGGGAAAGTATCACTGCAGACTGTGGATAGTTGCTTTGGTTTAATGTGATACTCACTTGTTCTTATCAGGGCGTGTCTACATGTGATGCTACGTCACTGCACAGTGCAGTACAGTGCTGTTACTGTGCCATCATTTAGTATGTCCAAAAGGAAATACTAAATGCCAGGGCAGTAACAATGGCGCTGTAGGGGCACATTACACGTGCCCTCAGAGTGCTACTAAAATTGTTCCATCATTTATGCCCTTCTAAAAACAGCATGCTAAATCACTTCCTTTACATTAAGTCACTGTTAAGTTTCTCTTTTCAGCACAAGATCTGTGTAAAAAGGGGGTGGGAAGGAACATTTAGCATCTAGGTATGGCTAAATCTGTCCTTCTTGAAGGAACCTCCAGCTGTAATTCAGATAGAAAAATCATTAAAACATTATACTAACTACAACAGTGTGCTACAAGTAGTTACGTTATAACACAGCAGTTCCAGATAAGCAGCTCTACCTCCAACAGATATTTGCCCTTTTCCTTTATTCAGACTTCCTACCAGATTGGATTAACCTGGAATGTCATACTGAGAGAGAATGCTCTCCACTGCCTTTTCGTTTTGTTTAGTTTAAGTGTGATAAGGCTTTGCATGTTGAGTTGTCATGAAATTTCCATAGCGTGGACATAAGCTTCCTAGTAAAACTGCAGTATTTCTAATATTACACATCATAAATATGTTTGAATGTCATACATTAACACAGTAATATAACTTTTTCATATTTGTATTTAGCTTTGTAAAACATTCAATTTTGTATTCCAAGAAATTAATCTCTAGTCACATGACTATAATTCATGCCATCTTCTAACCAGTATGAAATTAGCATTTGCCTCAAATTTCTACTTGTATGTTTTGAAACTGAAATAAGGCTGGATTACTAGGGCATTTATAGTAAGTGCTAAAAATGAAGAAAAGTACATATATAAGTACATAGTCCAAGACAAGTACATATATAAATAGACATACACATATACATATGTAATGTATACTATGTAATGTATATATGTGCAATATACACACATATATAGGAAGTGCCATATGCACGTTCTAGAGAGCCAGCAATGAAAGCAGAAAAGATAAACACATGTAGGACAAAAGCCTGAGCAACTATGCAGGGAAGGAACAGAGAACAGAGATTACTGGTGGGGAGAAAGGAAATTAAGTATGCTGAAAAGAAGGGCTTAGTGGACAGGAAACAGCAGTCTGTTCGATGTGAGCTGTGTAACAGAAAACATGAAGACAAGAACAAGAAAAAGAAATGAACAGATCAGTAAGGCTATAGGATAGAGGGGAGATAAGGCACCAGGAAGAACTGAGATGAAAGATATTAGAACATATAATTTTATATTCAGCATTGAAGGCAATAAAAAGAGCTCAAACGTGATGCAGCATGAGATGAAACTCAGATGACTATCAAAGAGAGGAGGAACACATTAAAAGAGAGATGGGAAAGACGTTGTCTTTAGCACCAAAGCTTTGTATAGTCTGGGGAGTCAGAAGACAGACTCTGCCATAATCAGTGTGAGAGATCACAGGGCTCTGTTGAGAGAAAATGTTAGTAACATTAAAGAGGATGAGGCAAAAGGGATGTTAGAGGGAAGAAAGTAGCATGGGACAGAGAGAGCAATACTGAGAGATCACACCAAAAACTTTAAATGTCTGAAAAGCATAAAGAGCAGTGCAGTTGTCAAGTATGCTAAAGGAATGGAGCCCATTAAAGTCTGTGGACAAGGACCCTTTTGATCCAGGAAATTTAAAACGAAAAGTAGATGCACAGGTCCATCAGCCCAGAGTATGACGGACCCTCTACACAAATATGACAATATAATCACATTACATTCCAATGAAACAAAGGCAAAAGAATGCAAACTATGTTTAAATAAGGATAATTTAGTACAGTTCGCATGTTCAGCAACTGAGTCATTTTCATAAAAGAACAAAAAAAGGTAATAAATAAAATCTTACAACTATAATTCTTCTCCTCCAGTTTCCTTATATCATCTGGATTTGTCTCAATCCCAGAATCCAGCAAATTTTTATGCAAAGCTGATCTTGCAAGGTTTGGCAAAAACCTAAATTAAGGGGTTAAAAGAAAAGGAAAAAGTTGTTGTTTTGTTTTTACTTTTCTCAATAGTCTGGATTGTTTTATAATAAAAAAAATCAGCAAGAAGCTTTTTCCTGACCTCACACACTAAATAATGTCAATTCCTGTCCCACTTGGAGAGTTTCCAACATTTCACCTACTCTGTCTGTGCTTAGGAAAGGAAATAGGACTTCTTGCATAGGAAACCCCATCTGACTTTCCATCAGTAACTCCAAATTTCAAAATCATCTGGATTAAAAAAAAAAAAAAAAAAAAAAAAGACAAACCTAGCAAAGTCGTACAGGATAGCATTCCTTAAGTCTAACCTAAATTTCACTCCTAAAATTCATATTAATATAAATATTAATTTTAAGAGTTTACAATGCTTTATGAAACTAGTTTAAAGAAGGAATAAAATAGAACTGAAGGTTAGTGGCTTTCACCTACAACAGTCCATTAGACCTGGATTGGAAATTTTATCTACCCTCAGCTTTCTTTTTTCTTGATTTATTCCATAGAGCAACAGGAGATGAGTGTTCTATACTTTGAGGATCTGGGCCCATCAACTTTCTTCCTCACTCTTTTTTTCTTGAAACCTTTTCATAACTTGATTGTTTCCTTTGAGAAATCTGAGAACTAAAACTTTTTTTAATGAGTACAAAATTCCAATCAACATCTAACCACATTAGATTTTATTAAATATATGATCATAGGAAAGTAGGGCTGGAAGGGAACTCACAAAGGTCATCTATTCCAGCTCCCTGCTCCTATGACCTTCAATATGATTTTCCTTTTTTGTGACCCCCAGAATGTTGACAGGAAATGAGATCCTATTTGTATGTTTTTAATGTTATGCAGCAGCTGAGGCATCTGGCACATATGCAAATAAAAGTGTGATGGGATCTGATATGTGATTTTTTTATTTTTATTTTTTAACAATTGTGCTTCCTACCATGCCACACACGCACCACAGGAGGCATGACTGTGGGACTATCCCATCATGCCATAATGCTGGTACAGGAGGAGGCTAGCATACTAATCTTGATCCCGGGTGCCCCCTGCAGCAGCAATTTGGCAAGCTCCTGTGGCCAGGAACCCAGTTAGTTGATCCAGGCTCCCAGTAACAGGGGCACAGCATGTGCTTCCAAGACTGGGACCCATCAGCTAATCTGGGCTCCCAGCTGCAGG